TCCTGCTTCACTGTTATGGAAATAAATCTGTTTTAATTGTTGATGACTTTTGTATATATATTAATCTATAAAACATGTTAAATACCTAGATTCTCACCACTATTTAAAGTAGCGCGTTCGTAACTCTCGATTGGATAATGACACTCAACAATTGTAATTTGTAACTTACTAGCATCGTTAATATAAAATGTATCTAGTCTCTTTAGGTGTAATTTAAGAACACACTTGATTAGTATTTTAACATTTATGAATGATTGTGTGGTTGATTGGTTGTTGCTCACGAATAATAAGTGATCGGATCCAGGCAGTTTTGAGTTGTACAGTAACATGTTATGGTCTGAGCACCGCTGCCAGATGGACGAGCAATGGCATGAAATTATGTACCCGGGACTGAGGTAAGGCAAAGAAAAAAAATAGAAAGGAAAGGGCGTCACACATCAGTCTTTGAAGAACTTCGACATTTCGGCGCTCATCAAGTTGGTCCCTCCGTCACACGACAGAACCTCAGGGATACCAGACCGTTTGGAAAGCCTCCTGAGTGTGGACACTAGCTTGCCACTTGTGGCGCCATTCGGTAGGTGCTCCATCTCTAGCCATCCCGTGAGCCTGTCCGCATATGCGAGGTATGTGTGCCCGTCCAGCTGGAACAGATCGGTCGCAACCTGCTCGAATGGGTACTCCGGCGGTGGCGTGGGTATCAGGGCTCTACTTGGGGCTGCAGTGCATTCCGCTCGCACAACTGGCTCTGACGCCTTTTCTGGTCTGCCTCCGCGTCTATGCCGGGCTAGTACACCGACTGCTTGGCCTGCCATAGCATGGAGTCGTGGCCCTGGTACCCTGTGTGTAGGTTATTAAGCACTGCGCGTCTCGGGGCTAAGGGGATCACGAACAATAGGTGTCCTTCATCATGGGCGAACGCGACTAGGTCTCCGTGGCATTACAGGTGCTGCCGCATCTTTAGAACAGTTCGCCATCCTTGAGGTCCGCCCAATCACCGGCCGATACGCGGGCGTGCAGCAGCCTGTATTCGTCGTCGTGCCCGGCCTCTTCCTCCACAAGACGCTGGTCCACGACGATTGCGTCTTCGCCCTCCATGGCTGCTACTGATTGGCGCACGGCCTCGTCATCCTCCCTGTCGGACTCGTCAGGCTCGCTGCGCAGTATAGGGTACCTGGAGAGGGTTTTGGCTGCGCAGTTGTCTTTCCTTTGCAAGTACTTGATGCGGAACGAATACATTAGTGTCTTCTCGTTCAGGTTAAGTATCCGTGGGTTGCCGATGTCCTTGAGTTCATTGTTTTGAAGATCTTCGTCAGCGAGCGATGGTCAGTGGCCAAGGTGAGGTGTGGCTACCAGAGCAGGAACAGGCACCACGCAATGGCTAGTGCCTCGCCCTCCAGAGTGGAATAGTTTTTCCTCAGCTGGCATCAGGTGGCGACTGCCGCACAGAGTCAGCTTCCAGCCGCCCTTGCAGCAGAGGGGCATCTCCGGCGTCGCGCACTGGCAGTACTGTTGCAATATAACAAAGCCTATCCCCTGTCGGCTTTAGTCGGTGAGCTTGTGTTGTGCTGGTGACTTGCAGACGCACGCGAGGTGTCACTCCAGGCCACACTTGTAACAGGTTATGTGTAGCGCAGGACACGTCTGGTTGCCAGCACACTTGCCAAGCCTGCACATTTGGCAGAATTGCCGAAGTCGGGTGCGAGGGGTACCGCGGTTGCTAGGCGACGGCGGCTCTGGTTTAAAATGGCGGGTTCTGGCACCCGCCACCGCTCCCACACATATCATGGAAGCAGTTCTCTGCTGACTCATACACCTCACATGCACAAATAACGTCACCCACATCTTTCAAAAAGGGAGCCGGCGCAACACTTCACCTTTCATACGGGGTTAGCAAGCATGTAGCCATCCAAGCAAGACTCACATGAGGGGCATTGAAACTTGCATTCCGCAGCCTTCGACCTGCACCTCACCAAATACCCCTGGACACGTTGCCGCCTGGTTCTTGTGTGTGTGTGTGTGTGTGTGTGTGTGGTGTGTGTGGTGTGTGTGTGTGTGTGTGTGTGTGTGTGTGTGTGTGTGTGTGTGTGTGTGTGTGTGTGTGTGTGTGGTTGTTTGTGTGTGTGTGTGTGTGTGTGTGTGTGGTGTGTGTGGTGTGTGTGTGTGTGTGTGTGCGAAAAAGTCTGCCCATGCACCCACAACGAACTTTGGGCCTATCACAACACTTTCCACAACCCTTATGGCTTCCTCCACCATCATGTTATCATACACACTTTCACCCACGCGTCTACGCACTGCTGCACCTCCGTGTCGCACAGAAGGCGGACGTAGCCTGCTGCCATAGCCTGTGGCCAGTTGCATCCGTAGCTGTAGGTGGCGATGCTGAATGCCCAGGCCCTGAATTCGGTGGGAGACATGTCCATGGACACCTTGCCCGGGGCCACCAGAGGGGCAGGTGGGCGACATGCTGCCTGGGACTGTTGTGGGGGCATAGGGTACAGCAGGCCGGCTCCAGCACTGTGTGAGCCGCTGTTGCTCTGCAGCGATGGTACAGTACTGGGCCAGCGTCGACGACCACGTGTGAACTGTATTCCTTGCAGCCCTCCCGGCCTGGGAACACCGCTGTGGACATTGGCGACATTCCCTCCCGGCCACCTGTAGACGTACAGTACACTGCTCCAAGTTAGGGTGCCAACTCAGGGGATAAGTAAAGGCCGTGTCCATAGTCCGTTTATTTGCAAAGGTGACAAGGGGGACAGACTAGTCCTCACAGCGAGGTGTGAGCCATTCTTTCTCCCCCCCCGGGTCTGTTGGCAGACCGATATACTGTTGCCAAACCGGCACATACCCCAACACTCTTCGACACATTTAAACTCTGAAGTTATGGAAAGGACAGACATCAGCTTCTTGGTTGATACTCTTCCTTTGCGTAATTTGGTTTCTACAGCTACAACTAGATCAAACTCATTCATCAGTCCATTAACTTTGAGACAAAACAAAGGGATTTCATGATCCTCGTTTAACTGTGTTTTTGAAGAGTTTCTTTTGCCATTGGACCATATTCCAAGCACTCAGATAATCATGGTTTCTTGTTTGTAAGGATACATGAAGAAGGAAAGTAGTGAAATGTGTAGAAAATTTACACCATTTATCCAGTAAAGCATTTCCTTCATATGTAACTGAGCAATGTTACAACATAGCGGCGTTCTTTGCTAAAAAAATATATATATATTTAGTTTAATGAGAACAATGTCATAACCTAACATCAACCTTATTAAAAAACAAAAAACAATCGTAGCCTAAACCATTGTGTGGTCAGATCAGAGTAAAACTGAAGTTGCTTGCAATGTATGGTTAATATTCGTCCATTGGCTGTCCGCAGGTTCCCACCATGTTTACCTGAGGTTATACTCCTCACTTAGTCAGTCGTCTCCTCCTTTCCTCCTCCTTGTAGGTTAGGTTAGGTAGGCTGGTTCCTTTGGTGTGAGAATAGGTTTTCTGTTTGTGTATTTTGGTGTGTTTTACTCAAATTTGACTTTAATTTTTTTGGGCAAATTAGCCGTTTAATTTATTTATTTATTTTTGTTTTATTTTTATTTTTATTTTTTTGCAAAAACAGCTAATTTGCTCAAGAACTGAAGGTCAGATTTGAGTATAAAAAAAATCGTACCAAAGCCTGAAGACAGTCAATGGACGAATATTTACCCAATGTATTAATACTAATTATGAACAATGACAATATAAGGCAATACATAAGGTATTATAGAAAAAATATATGTAGATTGAATCAAGCGTGCCACGGAATCACTGTTGAGAGTGGGGAGCTAATCATTAGTATGAATGATGAATAACTAACTTCAAGTACATAATTGGCAGTAAAATGTACACTATAAAGTTTTTACTTGCAAGGACACTATGCGAGCTGCTATAAAAATAATAATATTATACTCATATAATCGTATATATAAAAAATAAACTAAAGCTACAGTCAGCTGTAGGCTTATAAACAAAATTGTTCCTCTAAAATTTTATACCACGTTCATGCGCAGATTGTTCACGTGCAATTTGTAAATTACTTAACAGATTGGCATACGATTTCATGATGACCAAAATTTGCAACGGTAATGTGATTAACAATTTGTTGGTCAACATGCTATAGCTAAGTACCTTGTACATGATAATATAGCACATTATAACCAATACGTGTGAAATCTCTGTAGGCATGCGTTGCCAGGTCACTCCCACAAATATCCATAAAGTTACAATAATAGTGGTATGTGCACCCCCAAAAAAAAAGTGGTGTTAGTCCTCCGTCCAAACCCTGAACTCTAAATGACTCGTGAACCTATGAATCCAAGATATCACACATTGTTGGTACAGTAGATGGCGCACTGTGTAATGTTTCGGATTCATAGGTTCATGGATGGGAGAGAGCAGACTCAGCAGAGAGGACTGAGACTGACAGGACTTTCTTTGGTGGGTGGGTACAGTGTCGGAAATGTGTTCCTACGCCCCCTGTGGTAAATCGTGTCTCCAAACGGCCAATTTATATGACCTATAGCAAACCTATCTACCAGTCACGTCCGTCGTCACACGACCAATACCCATTCATTCATAAGTAGTGATACCCCTGTACTACTACTGCGGCGGTGAAGGAACACATTTCCGCAACTATACAACGTGATAAACCCCATATAACGTAATAGTCATATTAGGTATTCCTGGAGGTCTTTATAGACAAGTTTACCTGGGTCAGTGCTACTGGATTTTTATCATATGGATCTTGAAGGTTTAAATGAAAATGGAGTGTACTGTGTGACTGCCAATTTGCTTGCTTTTAAGGGTACAAGACTATACAATTCCCTTGCCGTGCATTTGATAGTTAATACCAGCTCTCGGTTTCTTTGCAGGTTCCGCATTCAGTTTGTCATTGAGGAGACAGATATTTGTATTTTTGTTCTATTGATAATCGGGCGATTTTAGTTATTTCACTTTCTTTGCAGGTTGTGCGTTTGTAAAGTACGGGTCGCACACAGAGGCTCAGGCCGCTATCAACACACTCCACGGTAGTCAGACAATGCCGGTAAGTCGCACTGTAAGTCAACATTGCCCTTTTTTTATAGTGTTCGTAAGTAGCACTGTAACTTGTTTTACATGTTGTTTTATGGTGTTGTGGCGTGTTGCTCAGATATCCTTGATGCTCTTTTTTTTTACTTAACAGCATCTCTCTCTCTCTCTCTCTCTCTCTCTCTCTCTCTCTCTCTCTCTCTCTCTCTCTCTATATATATATATATATATATATATATATATATATATATATATATATAAAATCACGGGAAAGAACTTAAGCCTTTAGACACCCTTAGCTTTTCTACCAAGTCTTTTATTCAAGACATCTTCAGAGGCAACTGGGGTTGCCTCTGAAGATATCATGTCAAATTATCTTATCCACTTTTTCATTGGCCAGTGCCAAATATATATATATATATATATATATATATATATATATATATATATATATATATATATATATATATATATATATATATATATATATATATATATATATATATATATAGCGAGAGAGAGAGAGAGAGAGCTTTATCTTATGTTTGTGTTGATGTAATTTGTTAAAATTCGTTTCTTGTGTTGATTTAACTGATTTTGTGTTTTCTGAGATACTTCATTTGATGTTTGTTTGGCGAGTCAGATAAGTTTGAAGTGGAATTGTTTTTGTTGCTCGTTTGGCCAGTGTGGTTCATTTAAGCAGTTCTTGTTTTAGTAGTTGTGCTATACATTTCAGCCTGTAGATCACTCACTGATCAGCGCTTATGCTATGTTTTGTGTTAAGTGTCTGTTGTGCATGATGCTTCTCTTTCTCTTCACATAAAGGCGTTAATGTAAGGCGTTTTAGATGCACGGAATAGCTAACACGTTAGCTATTCTGTCTGTGCAGACGCTTCTGCTGAGTACTGTGCATGACACCTTGAGAGGGAAAATATGAATATATATGAAAAATGAAAACTGCCATTGACTTAATAATAATAAAATACTTTTATCCTCTTCACCACTGATCGGCTCGTTCTCCGCTTGAGTGATCGGTTATGTCTCTGTTACACACTGTTGGCTAGTACTGGGCATGCACTGGCTCCTGAATGTATCTGAACCTGCTCAGTGTTGGTCAAGTCTTGTCTTGAAAGAGCTCACACTTGGTGCCGTCACCACACTCTCTGGCAGATTGCTCAAGAGTTCACAACTCTCACTCCGAAAAAGTTACCCATTCACAGTTATCCGGACTTGCGCAAACACCTTGATCAGGCATTAGCATGTGCAGCGTCCGAATAGCTAACAAGTTAACAATCAATCTGCGAGCTTTTCCCACTAAAAGTGGGTAAATACGCGGATCATGGCCGCACAAGGAGAATATTTTTTATTAATATTGAAGAGTTGGGGGCATTTAAGGCAAATAAAAAACTGATATAATAATAAAACTAATTGTATATACAGCAGTATATTGGATAGAACCTAAAACAAAGCATATGGCATTAAAGAATTGAAAAGGATTGCGCCTAGTTGAAACCTGTTTTGGCTTCGCCCGTTTTTAAGTGAATGCTGTCCGATTTCATTAACTGTTGATGACTTTGATGTAACAATATTGATAATTACTCAAATATGATTGAAACCTTAATATCATTACTCATAAAATACTTTAAATAAGGGTGAACAAGTTGATTACAGTTCTGTAAGTGCAAAAATTAAGACAAACGAACCTGAAATTCGTCGCATTTCGTTTATAAATATGCGAACACCTAGCCATGAGAGAGACAGTAGTGTACAGTAGTTTCAGAGTCCGGGAAAAATTACCTTTAGAACGGCCCGATTTTTGGGGGTTATTCTTATTTGTTGTTGACTGGTTGACTGTTTTTTCCTTTTTGTCTTTCTTTCCTTTTTTCTTTCTTTCCATAATTTTCTATTTATTTTTCACTATTTAATTCCGCATTGTGTCCAAATACAAGTTCTCCTACTTTTATTGTTTCCTAAGATGCGGTACAATGTCGTATTTTTTGATGACAGTCCGGGAAATTTAACGTGTTAGCTATTCCGTGCATCTAAAACACCTTACAATAAACGCCTATTGTTACCTTCATTTCTCAATTTGTGTGTTTGTGTGTGAGAGACGTTAAACAAGAAAATTGGACATTGAGTTAAAACACAACTGATTTTTAATGTATATATATTTGTTTTTTCAGTAATCATATGTATTAGATTTTGTCCTGTTCATCTGCTGTACAAAATTTCGATTTGTCTTTCATGACCACAAAAAAATGGGGTTTGATAATGGGAAACTATATATATATATATATATATATATAATTTTTTTTTGGGGGGGGGGGTTAGAAGGCTGGAAATTATTATAAGATAATTTGTTTTTTTTCCTTTTTTTCAAAATGTGGGCAGAGTGTTCAACGAATACGTATTAAATATTATATGCTTGCCTCCTGTCTTAATGGTTGCTGGTTTGTGCTTAGGGTACTAACAGTTCACTCAGCTGTGAATGGGTGCCTAAATTTACAGTTAGAGAAGCGAAGGCTATTGAGGACAGTGCCATCACACTGTTTCCTTGTGTACTGAGCCTCTGAGGCATAGTACAGATATTTATTGTATTGTATCTGCACTGCCCCTAACTGGGTGCCATGTCAATGGGGTTCACTTTTAATTTTCATCTTATCATTTGTAGAGATATTAATTAAGTAAAAATCTTGAAAGTTGACATTCATTTTGTACTTAAACAGTATGGATGAAAAGAGTATTGGCAAATATGTTCAATGCAATCAGGAATGGGCCAATAAAGCCACATCAAGGCTATCCAAATTTTTGGCCTGTATTAGCGGGATCTTGCTTGGTTTTACCTTGCATAAGTCATTAGAAGCACATATTTGCATAAATTTGGTGAGAAACAAAAAGAGAACTGGGGGAAAAATAATTTGGTCTTGAGAACTTTGGCCTTATTTTGTTTGTTAGAGGGTAATGACTATAAAACATTTCTAATGATCAAACTAAACATACATAGTCTACCCTAATGTTTGTTGTATGATATTCTCAAGGAGATAATATATTTGTTGGAATATGTTAGTTTTGGGTTATTATGGTTTTGTTGTAGAACAACAAAATTGTCATCATCAAAGGTTTAGCTGCAAGCAAATACCATAGTGGTGTCTTATTATATTGTACTGTTTACTGGAAGTAACCCAATAACCTCTTCAAGTTCAAACTTATTACTGTACTGTACAGTACTTGCTCTAATAAATGAGATCACAGGTGCAGGCATAAAACCAAGATTGGTGAATGGTACAGTACTGTAGTTGGTTATTACTGTATTGGTTAGGTCAGGTTAGGTCAAGGTGTAGTGTTAAGGTTATACGCTCAACTGTTCATTTGATTTATGCCACAAGAAACACAGGTAAAAAAACTGTGATAAAACAGTCACCAGAAGAACTTGCCAGTGTGGGGGAGTATAAATGTTGATGTTTGCAAGGTTAAAGTCAGCAGGCAAGTTTTGACATTAGCATAGTTCTGTTATCAGTGCTACCAATATTATACTGGAGATATCAGGACAAGTGACCTTACGGCTTTTGAACTTTTCAAGAGGTTACAGTCACCAAATGTCTTTTTTTAACATGAACCTATGCTTTACTTCACGCACCATGAATGCTTTATCCTCAAGAAATTCTGAAGCTGGGTAAATGGCATTGACTGAGAGATGTGTGACATGTTGATGTAGTTGAGAATAAGATGTGATACAAGTACATTACTGTTGCTTGTTATTATTTTTATTCGATAAAAAGTGTCCTACTAACAGGCACAGATATGGGACTTATAGTTATTGTTGTCCGTTGCAGCTTGTTAAAAGTACAGCTCCTCCCCGACTTACGACCTACTCGACTTACGACCACCCGCACTTACGACCTGCCTCAGTTGTACCAAAATTTTGTCAAATTACGTATTTTCGAGTCCCAACGTCAGTGATTGCGCTGTGTACTGAAAAAATTTTCGTTTGTAATTCACTTTAGAATGGCTGGCAAGCTTAAAAGTGAGAGTTTTGTGGTGCTGAGAAGAAAAAGAGACACCCATTTTAGATTTTCTTTGTATTATTTAAGCATTTTCAACTTACAACCTGGATTTGGGTCCCTAACCCCGTCGTAAGTCGGGGAAGAGCTGTACTCCGTGAAAGTGGGTCTAATTTCAGTATACAGTACAGGTATTATATTTCAGTAGATATCATAGTGAAGTCTATCTTCGACTGGTAGTTTATTTATATGCAGTTCAAGTGTGGTTTTAGGTTGTTTTAAGCTAAATATCAAAACAATTGGGCCAATAATTCTGCCTATTTTATGTCATTTCTGCAGTTACATAAAACCTTGATACGTATAAATTTTAATTTTATACTGTACTGTACTATACTGTATATATTGGACTGTTTTGGCTGTAACTTGGTTTAGCTCCTTGTCAGATCAGTATTGTACTGTACAGTACATTACTGTATTTTGGTTCATTTATTATTCTTTACTGTACTGTACTGTACAGTACAATAATACAGGTTGACAATCCCTTAATCGAAATACTTGGGGCCAGAGGAATTTCGGATTTCGGATTTTTTTGGTTTTCAGAATGGTTAGTTTATTTTTTATTTTATTTTTTTTGTTATGTGTATTAGCCCATCCGGGCATAGATCACTGACCCACATCAGGGCCTGGGGGGGGGGCGAAAATATAATAATAAAAATAATAATAATAATTCATAGGTCTAGGTCGTGTTTCTCACTTTTGATCTTTTTTTCATTCTTGTATTTCTTTATTATTATTAATATTATTTTATTATTACAGTACTGTATTATTGTTATTTTTATTAATTTTATTACATATTATTATTATTATTATTATTAATGTTATCATATTATTTTCTTTGGGTGCATTTTTATTAAAAATTTTATTAACTATGAATAATTATTATTATTATAATTATTATTACTATTACATTTCCCCCAGGCCCTGATGTGAGTCAGTGATCTATGCCGGGTGGGCTAATCCGTTTAAAAAAAAAAAAAAGACCCACAAAAGAAACTTATGGTTTTCAGAGCTTTTCGGTTTTTGGAATTTCGGATAAAGGGTTGTCAACCTATATATGATATCACAAAATTAATTCCTATCACAATAAAATGTACCATACAAGACCTTACAGTACCATACAACATTAACTTCCTATCATATACTGGACAGGTGTTTACTATGTACACTGTACTGTACCATAATGGCAATGTAAGACCCATTTTATTATAGTGCATAGTGTAGGCTGTTTTAGATGAGAAAGGTTAATGCCTCTCATTGTTTTATGAAAATTCAACAAAAAATTGGAAAAATTATAATAGAATAGCCTATAAATTGTTGACCAACACATTCTCACCTTTCCTCAAGTACTGTGCTGTTTACAATATTGGCTGATATTAATTTTAGGTGTTATGTTTTGCCAGCCATACAAACCAGTACTAATGCAGACAGTGGATTATGGTATTACAGTCTGCACTGTACAGTATTTTTTGCTGTTCAATTTCCTACATATCTCTCTGTAACTATATGTGACCTCTATTTTTGTCAGGTACTCTTGGGTTCTGGGTTTTCAAGACATAATCAAAAATAGAAATTTACCTTTTACTTTTATCCTCTTTGCCACTGATCGGCTCGTTAGCCGCTTGTGCGGTCCGTCACGTCTTTGTTACGCATTGTTGGCAATTACTGGGCATGCTCTGGCTCATGAATATATCAGAACCTTCTCCAGTGTTGGACACATTCGTATGTGATTACCGTACTGCATTTTTAGGGGGAGCTCATTTCTGCATTCAAAGGCAAAGTCATACATAAACGTTTAAGTATGCATGGTCATTCTTATGCACGTGTCTGTACTGTACTGTATATACATATGCATAAATATTAATTGTGCTTACAATTTTATTCATTCTTATTCTCATTTCTGTACCATGTTAACATTCCAGAATGCAAAGAGTATTCTTTTACAGTTGTGTATAGTCGCGGACAAAAGTACACTCCCTTGGTGAAACTAGAGTCACAGGAATGTGTCCCAGAATTTACTTACCCTGAATGTCATCTGGTGCGGACGTGCTGTTTTATCTCATTTGGGGTCGATACTGCTTCAGTTTGGGAGAGAGCCAACTTTTAACCCTGATTGTATAGTACAGTATCACTGACACACAGTTAGATACAGTTTACTCTCATTCAAATAAATATCTCTTCTGTACTTTACAGTACTGTGCTTCCTTATTCTTGGACATATACATTGAAAAGGCACCATTTTCACAAACTATATACAGTGCAGTATATAGTACTGTAGAGCCTCTTTCACAAATACTGTATGTATGCTTGAGTGAAAATAGATAGTGTGTGATGTCAATCCAGTACTTGCACATTTAAAAAAAAAAGTTTAAACTGAGGTTGTTGAATGAAATTGGCACAATTTGTCTTCTAAATTCTACTGTTGTTTTCTTTTCTCATTATATACACTATTCCCATTTTTTGGGGTTCATATTACTATAGTGTTTCTCCTTGACTTACGACATATTTGACTTACAACAGCCCGGACATACGACGGCCATGGTCGTATAAAATATTTTTCACATTACGTATTTTTGAGTCCCGACGTTAGTGATCGCGCTGTGTACCTGTACTAACAAATTTTTTTTTTTTTAATTCCCTTTAAAATGGCTGGCAAGCTTAAAAGTGAGAGTTCTCGTAGTGCTGAGAAGAAGAGACACCCATTTTAGAATTTCTATGTATTATTTTCGCCTTTTCGACTTATGACCAAATCGACTTACGACCTGGTCTTCGGGACGGAACCCCGTCGTAAGAGAATGTACTGTATTACAACCTTGCTATTCTCACTAGTTTCATCTTTTCTTTTTCCACAATGCATTTTTTTTCTCTCAAGACTTCCCCAATAGACATTTGTTTGATTAAAATGGAGTTTTCTACCATTTGCTTTCCAACTCAAAGCATCAGTCATGTCCCCTCAATCTTCCATGATCCACTATTATATTTTGGCCCATTTCTCTCTCCGTGTTCTATACACTCAATTTTTCCTTCATTCTTATACTATCCAATACCCTCTCACATAATTCCTTTGATCCTTACCATTTCCTCTCATGTCAACTTGCATTCACTTTATCCCTGTAGCCAGATTACTGTACAGGTGCTACTTCATTTCTACTTTTCCCTGATATACTGTACTCACAATTTGAACTTGTATATCATTTTTCACTTCACTCATGTCATTGAAGTGCTGTACAGTATTATCTTAAATCTCTCATATTACAAAATATGGTAACCTCTTGAATTTGTGAACTATTTTTTTTAGCTCATTACTCTTCCTTTTGACAGGGTGCATCTTCGAGTCTGGTGGTGAAGTTCGCAGATACGGAGAAAGAAAGGCAACTGCGACGCATGCAACAAATGGCTGGAAATATGGGTCTCCTCAACCCCTTTGTCTTCAACCAGTTTGGCGCCTATGGGGCCTACGCTCAAGTAAATGTGTCAGAGGTTAGTGATTAGTTGGTTAGGTACCAGTACCTATTTTTAATTGGCCTCTTGAAATTATGTATTTTACCTTTGATATTTATACTAAATAACCCAATCAGTTTTGAATAATTGGTCTCTTGAGGTCCAATGAGGGCCATCCACCGTGGGTCCAGTGTTTATACAGTATCTTAGGGGACTCGAGTACCCAGAGGCCAACAATATCCAGAAGGACCTCACTGGACAACACCTCTCTTACATCCTGACCAGGCAGGAATCAAACCCATAGCACAATGGTGAGATAAAAGTACACTGTCACAGTACCATGAACACAGTATGTACAGTAATTTATTAATGTGATAGTGCACTTGAGTTTCATGGAAGCTATTATTTTCATATTATCTTATCTTAATTATTAAAAAAATAAAGTTTGTGAATACAGTACAGTACAGTACAGTACTGTACTGTACTGTACTGTACTAAAAAGTGGTGGTTTTGAAAGGAGAATGAGTGATTTGGTGAAGTGTACTGTACATTACATTGCTGTACAGGTATACTGTACTGTAATAGGTAGACAGTACAGTACTGTACATTATTTTACGAACTAGAAGATGAGGATTGTCAGTGAAACATTAGAGGAGGTTTAGGAAATTAAGAATTGAGGATTAGTATTGTGGAAACATAGCACAGTGGGGGGAGAATGATGAGAGGAGAAGTACAGTACAGTAACTGGATACTTGAAGAGCATTAATACAAAAGGGAAAACTGCAAGTGTTTATGTAAAGAAAGTACTTGAGAGATATTATAAACCTTTTGACTGGCCTATGGAAAAATGAAATACGGATTTGTAAGGGAGCAGACAGGCTTGGAATTAACTCTGGAAGTGAATTATGAGGGTGTGGGTGGAAATTTTAGGCGAGAGGGAATGACCAAAGCTGAAATAACACAACATTGATGTTGGATTGCTGAAAAGCCAAATATCAGATGTGGATTTGGAGAAATACTGTGAGGAAGTTTGGACAAGTGGAAACAATGATGAATAATAGAGTAGAAAAAAAATTGGAAGTGAGGTAATTGTGACCAGTTGTTCGTAAGAGTTTCATGAAAAATAAATGAAAGGGAAGGAAATGAGTCATTGAAACCACTTGAAAACAGTTTTCTGGCTCGCAGCTTCATGTGCAGGATTTTGATGACTAGGTTAGGTGTTCTTTATGTCCAGGTTAGGTGTTCTTTATGTCCAGGTAACCATGTGCCCACAACAAGGCTAGTGAAACATAACATAGGGTATATGTACCTGGACTGTATCAATGAGTTCTGTTACCTTGGCGCTATGCTCAATTGCTAGACTCGGAAATGGCTGGAGGAAGTTTAGGGAGCTGCTGCATATATTGACAGCAAGAGGACCTTCCCTCTGCGTGAAATGAAGAATGTATGCAGCTGGTATGAGAAGTGTGATATTTTGTATGGCAATGCAAGATGGGCACCTAAAGAGGATGACATAAGTAGACTTGAACAAACTGAAATGAGAAGGGTGAGGTAGATATGTAATGTAACACTGAAAGACAGGAGTCCCTGTTTGGATCTGAGAGGCCAGCTTGGTATTGAGAGTATTGGTGAAGCCAGAGGCAGGCTGAGATGGTTTGGGCATGTGGAGAAAATTGATGGGGCTAATTAGGCTATAAGAGAGGAGGGATCAAAAGGAGAACAAGGGATAGGCCAAGAATGTTGTGGGGAGATGATGTAAGAAATGACATTAAGAGTAAAAAACCTGAGAAAAGAGAGTGCAAGAGGCTGTGCAGCATGGATTGCTGCCGTCGGGTAATTGCGGCTATCCCACACAAGCATGGAAAATTACCCTAAAACGAAGATGATGATGATGATGATGAACAGGTGTCCAACATTTATATATTTTATTACAGTTATTCGGCCTTTTTGAACAATGCAAAATTATTCCAGTTCTCAAAATTATTCAGGAAATATATTGGGTCAGTATGATGAGGATCAAGGGCCTATTGGGATGCAGCTTGTTGACAGTCATGCACTGCTCAGGACCACGCCAGACACACCACTGTGTGGCCTCAAACAAGAGGATTAAGCTGTCTGGCATGCTTTGTATGATAATATGAAAGTTACTGTAATAACCCAAACCTTTTGGAAAATATCTTCATAACAAATGAGTCGTAGTATTAAATGAGGTGATATCAAGCAATGTTATAGCTACAGTATACTGTAGTCAATTTGACAAGTGGTTTTCTAGGAATTTATGATAGAAATCAATTTGTGACACTTAGCAAAAGGATATTAAGTAAGTTATATTGTACCTAGAACTAGTGAAACACAAAAAAAGTTAACAAAATTTTTTGGAGTGTTACAAATCTTTTAATTGTGCTCCCCATTTGGATGGACCATAATGAAAATTCTCTATATGGGCTCTTCTGAAGTTAGATGCCCTGCTACCCTGAGATTATGCTTCTGTAGCATTTTTGTCATTACTATCTCTAAATGGAGTTATTGGAAATTATTTCCAGATGAGAAGTTGACTGCCGTGACTGATTGCTCTGATTTTTTTTTTTTTTTTTGGGATTAGCCCACCTGGGCACAGGTCACTGACTCACATTGGGGCCTAGGGGGCGAAAATTTAATAATAATAATAATAATAATAATAATAATAATAATAATAATAATAATAATAATAATAATAATAATAATAATAATAATAATAATAATAATAATAATAAAGAAATACAAAAATGAAACAAGAATCAAGAGAAACAATATATGTATGTTGTGTTGTCAAAGTAAGAGAAACAATTGAGACCCTGCAATTGTGTTTAAATGAGGCAGAAAATCAGATCAGCAACCTAGGACTAGGTCACAATTTTCATGATGCCATATGGCAGCAGGGTCTACCATTAGACAACACATTATGCTTCCAATATCTTCCCAGGCAGTAGTACCTCCCTGTTTGGTAGCTACCTACTACCTACAGCATATTACTGCATACATTACTATACTTTATCCTCTTTGTCTCTGATTGGCCTGTTAGCCGCTTGGGCGGTCGGTCATGTCTCTGTAATGCACTGTTGGGAAGTACTGGGCATGCACTCACTCCAGAATGTATCAGGCCAGTGTTGGCAAAATCTGGTTTTAAATGAGCTCACACTTGGTGTCATCACAACACACACTGGCAGGTTATTCCAAGAATTCACAACTTACTCCAAAAAAGTTTGCCCTGACAATTTATATTGTTTCTTCATAAGCTGTATTCCTGCTGATATATGAAATGTGTATTTAGGTTTTCATACCCCCCATAGTAGTATCTAAATTATATTTCTGTAATTGACTTATAAAAAGCATTTTCCGGAAACTTTTAAGACTTTTTTCTTTTGCAAGTAATGTTTGTATGTGTTTTCCAACAGCAGCAGTTCATGCAGCAGCAGGCAGCACTGATGGCTGCTGCTTCACAGGGTACCTACATCAATCCTATGGCAGCCCTTGCTACCCAGATGCCCCATGCTGCTGCGCCCTTGGCCAATGGCATTACCAGCCCAGTCGTCCCGCCCACTTCTGGTAAGGAATAAGATGCTGTGTTGGTATTGTTGGTACTCTTGATGGCTGTTGATTGGTTTTCTCAATGTCAGATTTCATTTTATACTGGCTACAGGGATGGTCTTGTTAAATAGTAGTTTAGCTTGTGTCCAGTCATTACCTCTGATGGGATAGCTGTCTGTGTTTGGTAGTTAGTGTGCATGTTCATGGTCATCATCCCACAACTCTTCATAGCTGCTAGGAATTAAACTCCAGCTTTAATGTCAGATGATATTGTTAGGTATCAAGATGTTAGACTAGCCTAGATTAATAGCCCAGAATATATTTTCACCACATGAGTTATACTCAGAATTTCACTACAGGTAGTAGTACATACAAAAAATAAATAATTATAAACATGCACTAAATTACCTTGAGATACAAGCCATGTTGCTCATAAAACAGAACCCATAGCTGGTGCACGCCTGGCAGAAATATAATTTTGTGATGAATGGTACCATAAAGATGCTCAAGAAAGTAATTAACTAGTGAACAAAGCAATTTGAACATGTACTCTTACATTCTCCTCTAAGTGGACCTATGTGGTCTGTGATATCAGCTCTTGGTCTTCATTTGTAATACTGCCCTGTCCAGTTTTATTATTTGCATCATCAATCTTCTCACTGCAATGGAATACCTGTACATTGTAATGATAGTTATAAATAAATAGGGGTTTGTGTTTACAATACAGGGTATTAAAATGTTAATTAAAGCACTTATGAACTGTATTTTAAAGCTAATTCCTTTTACGCCATTTTCCAATGTGTGGGATGATCCTCACAAGAAAATAGCTCTGGGTTCTCACTTGAAAGTGGTCTGCTGTGAGCATACCATAATGAATAGCACCTTATTAGCCTTTGCTAGCTTGTAGCTCTAACTTGCCCTCAATGAGGTGGTAGTGTACAGGGATACATTTAATCTATGGTGTTCCATACAGGCTCATGTGGCAGGCATATAGTTCTGACTGAGCAGATCTTAATATTCTTAAGAGAATTTTAGAATAAACTAGTAAAAGTGAGATTTATTATTAATGAATTTGTTTGCATATGTATTACATATTGTATTCTTTTTTGGAACTCCTTTTTAATGTGGATTTCCATGAAGAATTTTCACAAAACATTTTTATTTGCTGAAATAGTACCATACAGTACTGTATTGTATTACATTACTGCCTTACAGTTTCACTCCAGACATATCTAAGAGAGGCATGAAGAACATGAGGGGGAAACAACAAAAAATTAAATCAGTTATTTCAAATAAGTGCCCAGCCATGGACAGATGTCCTCAATGAGGCCAGACCTTGTATGGGAATATAAAAAATGGAATGGCAGTACAGTAAATAATCATATATAAAAGTTTGTAACAATTTGTTATGAGGTATGAAATATATAACCTTGAGAAATTGCTAAGGTTTAAAATTACTAGTTTGTGATGTATTTATTTGTTAGTACACATTTGGCCACTGCTGAGTCAGTCACTATAAAGAAATCTTGTTCATTTATTCTTAATATCCAGTCACCTACAAAGTTTGGGAGGATGTAGTTTCTTTACCATTCATGTCCCATTACCACTTGGTCAAGGTTTGTGTTTGAGGTTTGTTATACCTGTACTGATATCTAACACCAATGATGAGGTATAGTTGAAATATAGGAGATAGGGGAATCTTGATGTGTTCTTCAAGTTCATGTACTTATTAAGTTTGTTAAGCCATTAACATATTAAGCAAATGTAGGGGACAAGGGGATTCATATTGTTTTGCTTTACCCCTTGTTATATACAAGAATGTCTATAAGCTAAACACACACAAAAAAAAATGGGCAGCATGGATTGTCTCTTATTGAATGCAAATCCTTGCCCCTTGGATAGTTTGCTCTCAATACTGATGATATTTTACCTTCTAAAATGGCAGCTACTTTTTCTTAGAAAAGTAACTGTAAAGTAAGCCCATATAATTTTCAAACTTGTTAATGTTACCTGTAAACTTTATGAAATTGCATAATTTCTTTCAGAACAATACACTACAGATTTTCTGATAATAAAGGCTAATCTGTATGAAAGAAATTTCAATGATATAGTTGGGCAGAAACTATAGTTGTAATATCTTAGACCCCTCCCTGCATCTGTCAGTTAGTTCATTAAATTCTTATATCACCTTTCTTCACAGGGAGTTATCACTGTTGTTAAATTGCAAGAAGAATGAGATACTTGTGGAATATCACTGCTTTTATGATCATTTTTTTCATCTTGGATGTAGTGAGGAATTCCATTGTAAACTTGAACAGTATTACATAATATATCTGTAGAGATATTAGTCTTGATATTGTACAATTTTATGCTGCTTTATTACAGCACATTAGAAATTAAAATTAAAATTATCCTCATATACCTGTTCTACCATACAAGGGTGTAGCTTATGATGCCTTTAATTGTAGATGGAACTCAATAAAATGTGGTTAATTGCTTTGGTAACACTGACACATTTTTTGACTACACTCACACACGTTACATTTCCTAATTATTCAGTGGACCTAGTACAAAACAATGTTATAGAAAATAGTACAGCACCATCACTCCGGGAAAGGAAGCGACGAGTGCTGCTGGTCACAAGTTCATTTAGAAATTGGCATACATGAACAGTAGTCATTTCATTGGTGGTTCATATCATAGAGCATATATCATTTATTTTATCTTTAAATTCCCTGAATTATATGTAATCGTTAAAGCTAAAAAAAAAAATTTCCATTTATTTGCAAATATCATGAGTATCAAACTTAAGACGTTCAGACCTCCTACAAGACAGATCATACATGACTGACGCTAACAGACGTCATTCCATCTTTGCAGCATCTGTGCCACTGGTGTGGGACATACAGAGTTCAAAAGTTGGTAAGTTTAGTAGAGAGTCAGCCCCAGACGAACCCTAGTTTAGCCACTGAACTTTGCGCCCGAATTCTAAAAACCTTACTTTAGGTTGCATATACATCACTAGGTCAAATTTTGATTGTCAGTTGGTTGGTTCTCATCTCTAAACCTGCAATCAGAGACAGCCAATTGCCTTTCACAATTGTCTTAAATCATTTCTTAAGAATTCGGGCTTTGCTTACGTTGCTTTAGATTAGAGTACTTATCTGGAAATGACCAAGTCATATTGGACTAAGTTCACCCCATCATCACATTTATCCATATATGGTTGGTAGGAGATAGTGCTGGGTTATGAACTTTGCAGGATCAAAATTTTGTGCAAGAGTAATAATTAAATGGTCAAAAGTTTCAAGTTACTTTGATGGCATTTACAGGATCTAGAAATTTTTGAAACATTGGTTTTTGATGTGACCATTTTTATCGGTACTGTACAAGCAAACTGCCTGTAATATGTATGTGTAGTGCACTTTTGAGTAGTAATTCTTAATGAAAAATACATGCTAAAACTGAGCTCAATCAACATATGTTCTCGAGGTCACCCTTGAGGAAGTTATCTTGTTAATGGACAGATCACATAATTAAAGCATTATAATTACAGTAATTGATAAAATATGTTGAGATCCCTGTTTGTTCATTTTAAACTTGGCTTTCTCCTAAAATCCATTTTTTATCATCTTAACCCTCCTTATCTTCCCTGTCTTGTTTCTTTTGTGTATAAATTCCTGTCTAGTGTTCGTGGCACCTCTGTGATTCACACTTTCTTTGTTAATTAGGACGGCGTTTGCAAAGTTTTCTGTGAGATCAGGTTGAAAGTGTATTTTAATACAAGAATGTGGATACAGTACTAGGGTTGAAGTATCAAGAATGTTTAGTTACAAGATACAGTGTATATGTTTGATATAACTAGTATAAACGGTATTTATATATTTTGATATCATAATTAACTTGGTTAACGCCGTTTGAATGGTCATCGCAACTTTGGTGTTGTTGTTGTTGTTATTGATGTTGCAAAATTCCAGTGCTGTTATTGTTATCTCTGTAAATGTTTGTTGATGTTCCTGAGAGTAAGTTTTGGTAGGTGTTTGCTAATTAGGTATATATTATTAAAAGGTCCTAATATACAAAACATTTATGTAAATATTAGAGTGAGCATAATGATAAAACATTCATTAATCTATGGTAATGTGAAAGTTGTCTACCAAAGCTTCCTTCCTTTTGTGAGATGTCTATGGTGCAATGTTCTATCAAAGTGAAGTGACTGCAACACTCCTAGTTAAATTGAAGTATCTTCTCTTCTTAGCAGTCACTTCCCTGTGATGGGATGCTTACTAACCATTCAGTTCTTCCACTAAATATGTGCATTAATTTCAGGTTAAGCTGGGCCCTGGGAATATGGTTGAACATGTATGTTTGACAGTTCGGACTTGTTACACCAATAGGCTAGATAAAAAAAATGCACAGAGCACTGTGTTCTGTGATTATTTAATTAAAATGTAATCTGGAATATCAGTGGCTCCATCAGTTATTAATGAATTGGGTTAATCTTATGAAATAAAATGTTTGAGTTTTGAATTTTCAGAAGTTAGTGTTTAGTAGAGGAATATTGGGTTACCATGCTCATATATGCAGAGCAAAGCCTTTAAGATATTGAAAAGAATGTTAATTGCATTCATCTTCTCGTAAGAAATATTGTATTTTCAATAAAGCGATGTGTTTTACTCAAGGCTTGAGTATTCCTACTATAGATTTAATTGGGATATTCAGGTACTTGTCGAAGTATGACTGTGGTTGCCTCTCAGCTCATGGTGGATTCCATATCCTAAATTAGAGCCCTGCCTTAGGTTGCTCTTGCCCTCTGGATGGTATCCATCACCTGGTGGCTTGCATTCCCCATGCAGGTCCCTATCCCAGGTTGTCCCCTACCCCAGGTGGCTAAATCCCTCAGGCGCTCTTTGCCCCTGGTGGACTCTGTACCACCTGCTCTGCGCCTGATAAGTGTTGCAATGTCTCCCCAGGTGCCAGTCAAGCTCAGCCCGTAAACGGCGCATTGCCCTCCATGCCTTCCCCTACGATGCAGAATTTCAATATAGCTCCTCAGCCAGGGCCCAATAGCCAGCCAGGCGGGAGCGAGGGGGCTGTGTTTGCCAATGGCCTCCCTCAAACCTTTGCTGCACGTAAGAACTTTTCTAAAAACTTTCCACCAACAGTATCTCTATACTTATGTTACTTGCCTGCTATATACAGATGCGTTGCCAAGGTCAACTTTATTTTTTTTCTTTATAAAGCTCGGGTTTATACTGTGCATATTTTGGCTTAATTATAATTTTATCAGGTTTCTGTATCAAGATATTTGCCAGGAAAAAGTGAAATTCTTCCTATGAAAAGAAAGAGAAAAGAATATTATTTATTCCTGAGGTTAAAGTTCATTACGATATATATATATATATATATATATATATATATATATATATATATATATATATATATATATATATATATATATATATATATATATATATATATATATATATATATATATATATATATATATATATATATATATATATACATACATACATATATATATACATACATACACGGGAAAAGGGAAACAATGGAGCACCTTAGCTTTCGTCTTTATTCAAGACTAGTCACGTCACCCCCCTTCTCTTAAGCTCCTCTACGTGTGTGTTGGTGTGGGGATTAGTGGATGACATCATTATGACCTGACCTCATGTTTTTAAGGTCACCTTGTTTATTTAAGCCTCTCTCTGTCCATGTAATCCAGTTGCCTCTGAAGATGTCTTGAATAAAGACGAAAGCTAAGGTGCTCCGTTGGTTCCCTTTTCCCGTGTGATTTTATCAAGATTTATCATATCCTCGTTTTCATTGTGGAGCTACATGAAATATATATATATATATATATATATATATATATATATATATATATATATATATATATATATATATATATATATATATATATATATATTGCACTTAAGCCTTAAAAAGCAAGTGAGGTCGTTGTCGAATAGGTATAACTTTTTGTTTTTATTGCTCAAAATCAAAGGAATTTAATTTGTACATGTTAAAATTTTATCTATTTCATGAAGGCATAATTTCCCATCATAAAATAGCAAAATTATACCTAAAGTAGGTCAGGTCAGGTCAGGTCAGGTTAGGTTAGGTTAAGTTTTATCTGAAACTTTTCATTTATAGGTACTGTACATGTATTTTTATAACCTACATGATCATTTATTACCGGTCAGAAGTTTCCCAAAAAGATAAATGCAAAGGAGTTATCACTAATCGGTTAGTGGACACCCAGTGTGCAGTGGGGTAAAGGCTTCAGAGGTTGGAGAAACATGCTTCTCCAAATGAAATACAAATTTTCTCATTAGTTATGATCTTTCAAAGTTAATCAGTTTTAATAATATTAGCTACTACGTACAAGCTTCTCACTTCTGAAAATGAAAATTTTATTTAAACTTAGAGGTTCATTTTGTCTTGAAGGTGTAATGAGGCTTTACATACCATTTCAGAGAATTTACAGTGTTCAGTGGTACTGTATATCAAGTATTAAATTTTTGTACAACAGTAAGTTTGTCCCCTATACTGGATGATATTTGGAGAAGAGCAGGTCTTTTTTTTTAAGACATATGTTAAGATGTAAATAGCAGCTACTTGGAGACTGAAATGATGATCACAAAGTACATCAGGCTATTGCATTCATATAAACTGTTAGGTATTTATTTTCAAAATTCTTCCAATAACTGCACATCCTATTATAGATTGTTCTGGGCAAATAATCAAAGTCCCCTTTTAGTGGGAAAAAATGCATGCTTTTTAGGTCTTTTTATGTTTTATATTTTTATGCACCCCGATTGGAAGTCTTGAGAAGTACCATTGTTTAGTTTTTAAAAGTGCACCTAGTACAAATCTGTTGAGGATTACATGTTCTGTAATTTGAGAGGTAATCATGTTGGTTCTTTTTTATTACATTCTGTATAGGGGTTTAAGATTTCTTCTATTTACTTTTGTTATAAAGAATTAATCAACCCAGTAAATTCCCCTTATGACCTGTAGATAACCTAAAAATTAAGCAACCTTTCTTTGTGTTTGAGGCTTCCCCAAAAGCCAAACCTTTCGAATATAATGATGACATCAAATTCAGTACTCTAGTGTGTCATTCCTATCTTCAAAATGGCATTTGATTATTTGGCCTCGGCAGTTCCTGAAGGGAAACTGCAAATATTAGAGCGAGTTTCTGCAAGCTATCAGTAGGGGCATTATGGAAATAAAATAGCTTGATCGCCAACTTGTTGCTTACTGTATGTATTCTGGGCATTATTCCATCCCCGAGCAGCAGCAATTTGTGAAGAAGTATTGAAAAAAAAAAATTGCAATGTCTTGAAACACCACCTTTCTTAAAGTCATTAGTATAGAGAGACAAAGTATGAGGAACTATTCAAAGATTTTATGTAGACCATCAGATGCAGTACAAACTTCTTTCAAATTTTATGTAAGACATAATACAATACATTAGTTTCAAGATACACTTTGTACCTGAAGGTTTTAAAATATATTTCTTATATTCAGTAGTGAGAAGTTCACCTGAACTTATTCTTTTCAATTGTACTAAATTCAAAGAACAGCAACCTACAAACAGAACATTAATCTTTTAAATTTGTGCAGGTGCTGATTACCTTATATTCTGAGTAAAATGAATGCCCCCCCCTCCCCTCTTGTTTCAGTGTGTTAAGTAGGTAAGAGTATGGAGTACATACTGTATGGTTAGGATCAAGACTAGTGAAATGGAATTCTGCATTTGGGATGCTTTCTCCAGAAAGTAAAGGTAGATGGGTGCTACTATAGCGTACAGTCTACAAAGATACAGTATCTTTAGTCTAACCTGACCTAACCTAACCACACCACTGTATCTTGTAGACCACATTCTATAGTAGCACCGATAGATGATTAGGCATATATTTACTGTAGCTTTTGTGATTAAATTTTACAACTCGTTCTGTATATTTTGTTCATCTGCCAGGGTTAAAAAATTTAATTCCTATTATCTAATTGATCTCTTTTAGGGATGAATTTAAAATGGTTAAGAAACATATGTATTGGTCAAGTTTATATGAAACAATTAGGAAAGCCTTTTTCATACCTGTAGTCTCGTTCTGAAAATTTTTCTTTCTTAACCCACATTCACAGCATATTGAGACGATAAGTTATGTGTTATGTGCATCTATGCAATACAGTACACCACAGTGAAAAGGAAAAAAGTAATCACTTAGCAGTAAGAAGTACAGTACATAAGTGGATATAGACTAGTGTACTGTACATGTACACATATTCACATGCATACCATTAAACAGATTCTGTTTTATATTAGAAGGCTAAACAAACATTCACACATTAAAACACAGGCATACCAGTAATCATATGCATTTATAAGAGTGCTCATTTGTACAAGTTCACATAACCATGCACAGTTATAATTGTATGTTCCAACACTTGACAACCATACACCAAATGATTACCTACAATTTGCAGGTTGAAACCAAATTTCATACCATTGCAAGTACACAATGATTTGCAAATTTACAACTGTACATTTGTGTCTAAATACTCACACACACACATACACTTGTTTGCACTTGTTTGTGAGTGTACACATAAAGATGCATTTACAGCACAGCACAGTACAGTATCATTGAATTCGAACTTAAAGTTAATTTGCACTAAATATCTTGTACTTACTACTAACATGTTGTTGTGAAGGAGAGCGCATCATGATAGGTACAGTACTTTATTTCAGTACAGTGGACAGAAAACATTGTAATTATTGTTAATCTCCTTGCATAACTGTTAGTCATGTAAGGATATTTAATATGTCCATTGATAAAGGACATATTGTACAAATAGATAATTTTATATTGCCAGAAGTTTTGTGACTTAAAGAAGTCTACCAGTTTTGTATTCTTATCCAATATATTTCTTGAGCTTTAGTTTTCATTATTTGTGTTACCATGGCTTCGCAACTGTATGTAGAGATATTTTAGATTACATTAGATACTTACAATCAACATGGATTCGTGCTGAGCCCAAGGTTAGCCACTCACAGGAGCAGAAAACACAGCATAATGGTTGCCATATTTGTTCTAATTACTCAAGGACAGAAATGATATTCTGCCTCATAATTTTGCTGTGATTTTTGCTCCTTTTAAACTATAAGCTTAAGATCTCTGTATCCCTCCACATTTTGCCCGTTAGAATAGTAGTTCCTTGCTATTTAGGATTCCTTAAAATAAGATGTATCCTTAAGGCTCAAGCCCATTTCGGCAAAACATGCTTGCCATCCTCATCCAAGGCGAAGGTTGTGTCCAAATTGCTCGCCCCCACTGGTGGTGTGTAGGTCTTGCTTAGCTTAATATAGGAAGTGTTCATGTCTATTTTGTACCATTCATCCATTATATGTTAGCTTATATGTCATCATGTGCTTGTCTCTTTCTTACTTGTCTTTATCCACCTTCTATTGTTTTCATTCATATTTTACTGTTAGATATATCATATGTTGATCTGGTTTTTGGTTTGTGATGTAGATATATGTTTACCACATAAATTTTATGATTATCTTTTGATAACTTCAAAATGAGTAGCATAAATTTTAAAGTGATATTTTTGTTTCTTGTTTAAAACAACACAAATTCTTCACTGTAATATTGCTTACCATAGTTTGTATTACAGTATACAGTAGTTATTTTCCATTAATAGATTACTGTACCATATATGATAAAATGTAATTACAATATTCAAGTACACATGTAGTATTGGTATGAACTTAGTGATACTGTAGTGTATTTGTATTTACATAATCAACAGCAAAACTGTATTATACAAGTATATTTGAATTTTCATTACAATACAGTACATGTACAGGTATTCAGTGTTTAGCATGTTAGCTTCATAATACAGTACAATGTTTGTGGCTTTTATTTTATTTTATTTTACTTTTGTATGAAAATATTGAAATAAAATCAGGAAGATTTATATGATTTAACAATAATATCTAGAACTTAATTAAACAGGAGCATATTTAGCAGATGAGATATCTCCTTTGCTTAGGAAAATATAATATACAGTACCTATATATTGCTTTGAAGATAACCTTATATTGTATTTACAATACAAAGAAACATTGCACATGATAAAATTTTCTGAAAAAACCAACACAGAAAGAATTAATAATTGATCAATTAATAATTTAAAGATTATTTGTTTTTACAGTAATACAAAGCTAACCTTTGAAATTATACTCACGGTATAACAACAAGCTAATAAGTCACAATTAGAGGGACAGTTGTAATGCTATTACAAAGATGTTTTTTGATACACTACATGACACAGCACCCTACACAAGAAGGTGATCACAAGTTTCAGCTTTTTTCTCTCTCTCTCTCTCTCTCTCTCTCTCTCTCTCTCTCTCTCTCTCTCTCTCTCTCTAAAATGCTTAACTGTAAATAGTTACTTATCCAGGGGGCTAACCTTAGACATTCACTTCAACAGCCCAGCCAATCCCTAATGGTGAAGCCGCCACACTGCAGCCTTCAGCAGCCTACCCGGGCATGCCTTACTCCGGTGTTGGTAAGTAGTTTTCCTATTTTTATGTTTTTGTTTTACGTGTTTACCATGCAGTACTGATTATTTTTTGATGTTGATGTTGCTGTTAGGAGATGGATTTTGTGCGGTATCTGATGGTATATATTTTTTTAATAGAGCTGTGTAGATTTTAATATTGTTTAATAATATGGAAACGTTTTTGTTGATGTATGAGTCATATCATTGTTACTCAAAAATATGTTAAAAAATTTTTACATGCTATCAGATATCTCTTAGAAATGGGAAGAGTAAGCTGCCATTCCCACATTTCTTAGTATTATATATTTCAATTGTTTGATATTCTTTCCCTATGCTTTGTATGTGCATTGTCGTTCACTTACCAAAGTTTTGTATTTTTTTGCATGGTTTCTATATATTTTGGTTGGTGTTCACCCCTGTGTGGCCTCTTGTTCTTTATCTCACTCAGATCTGGCATTTTCTGCCAATTATTTTCCATTCATACTACTCCCTCAACCTTCTCACTGAAAGGTTTTTTAGAAGTCGGCAAAAGATATTCCAAAAGATGTTAACACAACTCTCTTTTTGTACAGTATATCAAATATGCACATGCTTGTGTATACACACACACACACACACACACACACACACACATATATATATATATATATATATATATATATATATATATATATATATATATATATATATATATATATATATATATATATATATATATATATATATATATATATATATATATATATATATATATATATATATATATATATATATATATATATATATATATATATATATATATATATATATATATATGCATGCATGCATATTGCATCATCACTTTACAATACAGGGGTATTCATAAATACAGTACAGTATTCACTCTTTCATACTCACTTATACATACACACTGTGTGCACAGGTCATGTAAGTCTTGCAAAGGATTAATTATATTTGCAGTTCCCCAGTTTTTTCATCGACCTATTTTTTGTTAGTTCATAAACAAAGAAAGGAGAGTGATAAAAAGTAGTTGTAGTAGTACAGTATACAGTATATGGAAGCTCTTAAGGAACATGTTCAGGAGGTATAGAAGTGGCAGATACTGCAGTAATATACCGGTTTATTAACCGGTTCCTGCATTGCCATGATCTGCACACATTGCACCATGTATTGTGTGTGTAATGTAGTAATGTTTATCAACCGCAAGCAGTGTGTGGTGATTAATGGCACGAAATCATCATCCGTACCTGTCACAAGCGGGGTACCACAGGGCAGTGTTTTAGGCCCGCTGTTGTTTGTTTCATAAATGACATGCCTGATGTACACTCCTCCATACAAATGTTTGCTGATGACACCAAGTTATTTTGGGAAATCAAGAACCAAGCGGACTGTGAAGAGCTGCAGAAGGACCTCTGTGGGCTCCAAGAATTGTCGAAGAAATGGCTGCTGAGATTCAATGTCACAAAGTGTAAGAGGATGCACCTGGGGCATACCAACGGTAAGGAGGCGTATCATATGTCCCAACAGGATGAAGAAACTGCAATATTTGAGACAATGTGAGAAGGACCTAGGTGTGTATGTTGACAATGAGCTGAAGTTCTCGAGCCATTGCGAGAAGAAGGTAATTCAGGCAAATAAATTATTGGGTCTTATAAGAAGGTCGTTCAGTTATCTAGCCGGTCCGTCCCTCGTAACGATCTTCAAGAGTGAAGTGCTTCCCCATTTGGAGTACTGTCACCCCGTCTGGTCCCCGAGATATTCTAAGGACTGTCAGTTGGTTGAAAATGTTCAAAGTAAGGCCACCAGACTGGTGCCTGCACTTCGGCACCTCAGCTACCCTGAGAGATTGGAGCTCCTGAACTTCCCTAGCTTATACTACAGACGGGCAAGGGGTGACCTAAGTGTGGTGTATAACACCTTTATTATTAAACAATATCTTCCCTTGAAGAGGGTCGTCGTGTTTCAACCCGAGTTTTAAAGTAAATGAGTCCTGAGGGACACCGCAGTACTGTACTTAACGGGATGGTGTAGCATTAAAATTAACTAATTCCAATACGGGGTATTATAAATTATTTTTATTGGAATTAGTTAATTTTACCGCCACACCACCTTGCTTCCTTAACTGGGCTTTTAGTTTTAGGGCTTTCGACAACATTTACAAAAATGAGTTGTACAGGGAATATGGAATCCCTTGTATAGCAGCAGCAAATCATGTGTCTACTTCTGAACTGTCCTCATAGTCCAGCACAAACGTAATCAATGACTGACACATCATAATTGCAGACCAAATATCTGATGCTAACTTCCTAAATTTGAATTCTTCAAGCAACAGTGCAGTAGCAATTGGTTTAAATTTTTATTTTTTTTCACTTATATCAGCATATTTTGGAGCCGACAAATACTGGGAAAGTTCATATAAGGAACTCTTTTTGTCATTAATATCTCTTATTGCTATATAAGTCACCAGTGTGACAATCACAAACAACTAACTCACTACCCTATATCGTACACCTCTCCCTTCTCTTATCTCAATTATCCCTCAGCTCAATGAACTTTGTTTCTTAATCAAACTAACTTCATTTAGAGCATTATATTTTGAGGGATCATCAAGTTCTCTATTTGTTGCCAATCAGGGTGCACAGACATCATCGCTGCAATTAATTAGCTTGAGCGAAAATGCCTGAGTGAGCATCGTTACCCGGAAGGGTTGACAGTGCTGAGCTGCTACCATAGATCTCAATTGGCAACATCGTTCACTATTACTCTAGCAATATGTATTGGGTTGAGTATTCCACCCTGAATGGTTCTCATAAAACCCATATTAAGGATACAAGGTCCATCCCAACATAACTAGATTGCTAGTAGGACCGGGAGGTTAGCATTCTGGAAGGAACACTCAGGCTAGCAGCCTCACTAGAGTTCGCCTGGAAAGGCTGAACCTGCTACTGAGGACATCACTAAAAGAGTTATGATGAGAAAAACTTAACTCTGGCCTTCATGCTGAGAGTAATTAGAAAACCCAGGGCGCAAGCCCGAAAAGTTTTGTGAACGAACATAAGAGGAGGGAGAGAGACAGCCACATAAATCATGGTATTCATACTAGTACGTGTATAATTGGGACAAAGAAAATTGTATACAGTGTGTGTGTGTATATATATATATATATATATATATATATATATATATATATATATATATATATATATATATATATATATATATATATATATTTTCTTTCAGTGAAGACGAGCCGAGGGCTAAAAACAACGCTATTCACTAAGTGACTTGAAAGCAGAGGATATATCACTAATGATATATCGACTTAATAGAAGACGCTGTGGTCACTATGCTGACCGACTGTATAAGAAATTGTCCCAAACACAATATCTGAGAGAAATAAACAAAATAAAAGTCACTCGATTTCTACTGTGTTTAGATGTATAAATACCATATACAAATATAAAATCCTCGTGGCACTTACTGTAGTATTTCAGCTATTACATCACAAATTAGCAGAGCTTTCTTGTGGATTTATAGCTGATTCGCCAGGCAAGAAGATGACGGTGGCAGTGCGTGGGATGGAGGTGCGTGGGGGGGTTGAAAATTGCAATTAAATGCCAGGTAGCTTAATGCGTCCTCCTAATATTACGATAAGTAATTATTAGATGTTTTAATTGCCTGTATGTTGGCCTGGCGAGTTATTGCTAGGCATTAACATACCTAGGTATAAGCTAGCGCTCATTCTGGATTAAATTCTATATACAGTGACCCTTAACGCACCTCGTTAACGTAATTTTATTAACTAACTGCCTTCCATAAGATCTTCAATTCGTTAACGAAAAAATTTCGCTAACGAACTACTAACCGACCTCAACATGTTTCGCTTGCACTGACCGGGCAACCAGCTTTAGTATCAGTCCGCCAACATATTAATCGTTCTAGGGCTTAAATTCCTTACTATTTTTGTAAATATCAAGAAGTTTATACTATTCAATAATTTTAAAAGTTTAATATTCAATTTTTTAGTCATTTTAACAATTATTGAACAAAATTGAAGGTAAAGTGACTAGTTTAATGCGCGGCATCCAGCCCTTAACACAGCAAACAGGCCAGTCTCTGTTTTCAGTGGAGGTACATCTTGCTTGAGACTCTCTTCAACTAAACGCTTTTTTTCTGTGTTTCCACAAATTATTGGTCATTTTGAAATATATTTTATATATTGACAATATATAATGCAGTGCAGCGTTGATTTAAAGAAAATAATCTTGAATTAAACCAGAGAGCTAAAATTTATGGGTGAAATGGCACCATGGGGTGACTTCTTCCACCCCAATGCCTTCTTCTTCTTCCTTCTCCTCCACCCCATTCTAAATCCCATCATCATCATCATCATCCAGGAGCCTTCTACATACACACCTCAAAGTAAGTGAACTTTTCTACCATTTTTGTTGAATTTAGGAAATTTTCGTGAGCTGAACCACTATCCAAAACCCATTGAAACAATGGTTTCAAGTTAAACGTTTAGGTAACGAACGATCTTCTGAACGGATTGAGTTCAGAATCTGAGGGCCACTGTGTGTGTATATATATATATATATATATATATATATATATATATATATATATATATATATATATATATATATATATATATATATATATATATATATATATATATATATATATATATATATATATATATATATATATATATAATGTAGAGAAAAAAAATGCAGGCACCATTAGTACAACAGATAGAAAGAACCAAGATACTATATATATATGTTGGGAACAGCAGAAGTGGTAACACTTGTGTTATTGTAATACTGTACACTGTATGAGGGAAGAGGATATACGGTAGTTATTGATCAAGAAAGGATATACAGTACAGTATGGTTCAGACACACCTCTACCATCCATCCAGCTTAACAGTTCTACCCTCTCTAATGTTGCCCACTTATGGTATCTTGGCTCCCACCTGTCCACCACTGCAGACATCGATGAAG